TTTGCAGTCAGGTGTAAAATTTAAAATTTCCGTGTGACTAGCTCAATTGCACAAGTATTCTTAAAAATACCAGTGCTAGGTAAAGCCTAAGAGCTTAGTTGTTTAGTGAAAGTGGGCAGGAAAGGGTCAAAAATATAACTGCATTTGCATGGAAAGCAAATAAAAATAATCTTTGAAGGGAAAGAATAATAGTGGATGTTTCCTAATGGTCACCATTCACCCTGATGATTCTTTGCACTCCACTTGCCAAAAGCATAAGGTTTTAATTTTGCTCATGGTCAATGTAATGTTCAGAGTTTCATCTACCTGAATGATTCTTTGGGGACTGGTTGCAATAGCTACATTTTGGGGTTAAATACCTTTTTTTTTTTTTTTTTTTTTTTTTTTAATCTTACCATTGATTGAAACTGGAAAGGATAAAATTAGATTCCTGAACCTTCATCCCTTTTTAGAACTAGACATGAAAAAAACTGCATCCAGTTTTGTTAAATATTTTTTCCACATCTGGTGTTCAGTCAAAACCATAAGAAAAGTGCTGGAAATCTCACAAGAAGTCTCGTACTCTTGTGATTTCCAGTCCAATTTTTGCAGCCACAGGAGATCTGTATAGTTCAGATAAGAATCCGAAGCAGCAGCCAAACCCAAACTGCGAACCTCCTGAGGCTCACCCCACCCACAACAGCTTATGTCTTTACCCATCATTTGCAGCAGATGTTCTCCTAAATTCTCCAGTGAGATAAATTCCATTAAAAGTTTCAGGAGAAAGATTATAAGATACATACAATACAAAATAAAAGTGTCCTAAGCGGCTCATCGTGGCCCCTTAAGCTATTGTTAAAGACCCTCGTAGAGCAGTGTCTATTGATTAGAGTGGTTTGCTTCTTCTTACTACTCATTTTTCCATGCAGGGCTTTTGGGCTTTTTGATCTAAAGGCCACTGACGTCAATGAGAGTATTTCCATTGTCTTCAGTGGGCTTCAGATCAAGCCCTTGACAAAATGTTTCTCCCATAGGTCAGTCTGTAGAGTGTGGGTTTCTGCCAGCAGATTGTCCCTAGAACATTTCACTGTAGATTTACAGTCTTTATAAAATTTTTAAATGAAGTTCTATAGTTAGATTCATATGGTATATCATAAATTACAGCAGACTCTGCAAGCTTGAGTTTGAGAATTTTTTTTTTTTCATTTGGCTCTCGGGAAACATATAGTTTTTTCCATAGGAACTTTTCTCCAAATGCTAATTTTACCTGCTTTTTGCTATTTTGCAACAGAACTTGTGCCTTTCTCAAGGCCCAGCTCTCCAAGGAAGGCTGGAACTGTGGTAGTGATGGTGATGTGAGCAGAGTTCCACCATCACTGTCTTGATCTTAGTAGGGCGGGCTGTTCTTTGAGTTCTCCTAGTGAAACTAGTGAAAAAGATTTTAAAAAGCCCAAACTTTCAGAGTATCCTTCTGTCTTAAGGGGTAGTTAAAGCTGCTTTATCAGAGGAGCATCTTCCATCCAACTCTGCCATCAAACCACTGAGTGACAAACCCCTGGGGAGGGAATGATCTTCATGCAGAACCCTGTGCACATGAGCACCAGTCTTAACTGGGACCTCTATTTCAACACTTTCCAAGGCAGCCAGGCGATGTGACAGCAGAAGACAAGAGGACAGCTCTCTGACATCCAAGTCTTAATTAGATTTTCCATCACCAGAACCTAAATTAAAGAATTCAAGTGACATTACCTTACCCATCTGCAAAGTGGGAGCAATAATCCCACAATACCTTTTCAGAAATGCTTTGAGGCCATGAACTCTGTCTACACAGAGTAGTACTGTTCAGTAGTAAATGAAATCTGTTTTCACTTCCAAAGCTATGGCATAAATTACTATAGGCAGAAATCCAGCCTAGCAGGCAGTGAACTGGATGGGGCCCACTCGGTTTCTTCCATCTTTAGCTTTGATTTTCATTGTTCTGTTTCATTAACAGAATTTCCATGTCTTTTTTTTTCTTTTTTTTTTTTTTTTTTTCTCCCCTGTTGTAATTTTCCTAAGTTGTTAATTTGCCAGCAGAGAGAATGGCCTCATAATTGTAGACCAGATTCTCCAAGCACCCACAAGAATCTGAACAGATTTTAGCAGACTCAGCATTTCCCTTTTTACTTCTCAGCCCCTGTATGTATGCAAAAGGAGGATGCAGAAAGTCTGTTGCTGTGTTCCCACTGGAGAGCCATAATCTGGCCACTTGTTTTGTGCTCAGAGTGCATTTAATTCTGCATGCTATGTCCTTAAGGCCCTGCTGATAAAAATCAGCACAATTCCCCCCGAGCTGATGGGGCTGTGGCAATTGGCAGTGCTGGTTTTGAAGGACATAAACATCACTCTTCTTTTCCCATTCATTTGGCAAGCTGGAAGATCAAAGGACTTCATGAAAAACAGATATGAGATGGGAAACTCCTTGTTTACTCTATTCTCTGTTTTGTTCCTTTTTATTTGTAAGAAAGAATATTGACTCTGCCCATGTCACCTCCACAAGCAGGAGACTGGGACAAATCAGATATCAAAATGGTTCAGATGACTTTTCCAACTTTCCCCTTTGCCCTCCCAAGCCCTAAACCCTACCAGAGACCGGTTCCACTCTTGGCCTCTTCCCCAGTCACCATGTCAGAGGCTGCCTTTATGCTGCAGATGAACAGATGTTTCATCACTGATAGCTCTGATTCATGAAACAATTTGAAAGAAATTAACAGCAATAAATTTGATTCAAATCCTATTTTTTCCCCAGTAGCAGAGTTTGTGACTGTGTATGAGCGCTCCCACTGGAAAGAGAACTGGAAAGATAAAAATAGATGAGATGAATGAGAGATTACAGGATAAAGTGATGGCCACTTACCAGCCGAGCAAGATTCACTGCTCAAGGCTGACGAAGCCTCTGCTGACTTTGGGGTTTAGCAGCAGAGAAACTGCTCCATAATTTCTGTTCAACCAAGCTCTCTTGGAAATTACATCTGACCACCAAGTATTTCCTTAGGGCCCTAGAAGAGTGGATGTTTGATGACAGGAACCTCTCCATGTGAGATCTATCAGGTTGCTGGGGGAGGTGGGGTTGGATGACCCAGGTGTTATGGAGCAAGGTGAGAAGGGTAAAGTGGAAATCAGCGCCTAATGCAGCTGTGGTGTCCCCTGCCATACCAGCCTCATCCCAGACACCCTGAAATCCTTACCCAGGAGTTTCCTGTGGGGAATTAGGAAAAGGCACATAGCAGGACATTATTTGCACGTATCTGAATTCAGGATTTCCTCTGTGGTTTGGTTTTGCTTTTCACGAAGGCCCTGTTTAATCTCCACTTTCAAGATATGAACAATCAGGCACAGAAAGGTTAAGAATTCAGCCCAAGTCTCCAAGCCAGAAATAAAGCTCATTAGTCCTTCATCCACAGGGAGCCCTTCGCTTCCGTCTCATCCAAACTGCCATACGACAACCGCCGTCAAAGGCATCTCAAAAGAGGAGATCAATTTTATAGCGGTTTTACTCTTTGAAAGCACAAACAGGCTCTCCATTAAGAACTATAATTTATCTAACTGTGACCACTGACTACAGGTCTATGAAATATATCTAAATGGATTGCACGGAGCCAGAAAACTCAGCCCAAGTATATACGGCACACACATAACAAAGCTCTGCAAATCTGAAAATGCATAGTATCAGCAAGTGCTCTGGTTTTCTGGACTGATTTGGGAGGTAGGTAGGCTTAGCTGAAGGCTGTGGTTTCTAAATTGGACATGGTTACCTAAAACTATTGGAAATTTGAATTGCATGTCAGATGTCTGGAATAAATGGACTCAAGAGACATAAGAAAAAACATGTGGCCCAGTATTTTTCTTTTTTCTATTTTTTTTTTTTAATGTCTTTTGGAAGCTGTTTAGATCTCATCTGGGGCTTGTATAGTTTCTTTGTTTAGCAATTCTGAATTGAAATTCTTTATAAAGCTTTGTTAATTAAAAGGTAAAAACTTGATTGTTACACAGAGCCCTTCATCCCCAATGATGCCTGTACACTTTCCAAAAGCATATTATACTTTCCAAAAAAATAAACTGTCCTTTGAAAACTAGGCAGGAGGGCCATGTTATTTACCTCAAATCCACCAAATTTAAATTCCAAACCGAACCGTGATGGCCTGACCCTGTTCTAACTCTGCCAATAGCTGTTGTATCAGAGCACAGCGACTGCAGAGCTCCCCCCTAGGCCCTGGTAGCAAGGCTGACCCAGGCTGCACATCTTTAGCAAGAACATCCAGTGCAATTATGAAGATTACAAGCAATAGATTTCCTGCAAATTGCAGCCATCTCTGGGGTGAAATAGATCACCTGCTCCATGGCACACAGCCGTACCTTCCCACTGTGCAGAAAGACCGAAACGGATACCTGAAGGCCCCCTTCTGCAGGCAGAGTGGCTAAATCTGCATTAAGTTGGGAACTGGGAGGAGATGTTTCCCCAGGTGGGGAATTTTTCAGATTTGCCACATCTTGGAGGTAGAACAGCTTCTCGTGCTCACCTTGGCATCGCTCACCTCCCGTTCCCACAGCCCAGTAGCATTGCCACAACCTTCACGTTTTTGTTTGCGTGTTTGAGTTCAACCCAACCACTCTTGCCCCACACTCTTCTCCTTGCAGATCTTCCCACTCCTGCTGTTCATTAGTAAGTGCCTAACGCAGTGCAGATTTGTTTGATTCTTTTCTACTTTTTTTTTTTTCATTTTTTTTTATTTTTTATTTTATTATTATTATTTTTTATTTTCTGGTGTCTTCTGAGTGCTCTGATACCTGCCAGGGTGCTGCCTCCTAATCTCAAGGGATAGGATATAACACATGGAGGGTCATGAGCAGGGCTGGAAAAATAACAACCCCTCCCCAGACAAACTCCATCTCTTTTGACCTAACATTGTTCTACACAATGCCAGAGAATGAGACCTGATCTATAGCTCTTCTTCCGACAAGAATGCATGCTGAGGCCTAGATTGCTGAAAATTGCATAATAACAGCAAAAATGACTTTTTGCTCAACAAGACCTATTCCTCGTCGAGCTTTTGCACACTATGGAAAAGGCAGAGAGTCTATGTGGGCTGACCAGGCAAACCCCGCAGCTCCTGTCAGCAAAAACATGTGGTAGTTGGTGCAGCTGAAGTTACATTCTCTGAAAGCTTTAAACTGTACCAGCTAAAGCAGAGTTAATGACAGCATATAAATGTCATTGGAAAAAATTACTGCCCTTATATTCGCTTCTTTTGCGGGTTTTAAGGAATCTCCTTCCAGCCTTGGCTTTCGGATATATATAGGTTTGTGCAGATTTGGCAGGGTTAAACTGCCAGGGGTAAGAAAGGACATAAACTTTTGGAAGGGCTCTGACACCCCCCTCTTTCCCACTCCCAGCACACAGGCATGCCAGAACATTATGGTTTCTTTTAGGCCCGCATAATTAAATGAGTGATGAGGAATTTCTCACCAGTATAAAACGGAATTATTTGTTGCTTAAAATAAAACTGTACTTTATTTATTTATTTTATTTTGTGGAGACGGGGTGTCCAGGTTGTCAGCTGGTGTCGATCACCCTGTTCTGGGACATCAGATCTTGCTCACTGGGGATAATGCCAGGAGCATCAGGACAGCATGGTCCTACCCCCCAGCAGGTCTGAGATTAGGAAGGGACCATTATGGTGACCAGAGGAGAAGCAGTCTCTATAAAACCCCTTTTTTTTTTTTTTTTTTTCATGAGTTTTTCTGTTCAGGCAGGAATCCTCACCCAGGGCAGCTTGGGGAGGGCAGGGGGGTGACTGCAGGGAAGCCCGTGCAATTTCTCTCCCAGTTTAACAGACAGCCTGGGGTCATACTCGCCAAATTTTGTGAGCAGCAGCTAGATTTATGAGCCCCAGGAGCTCACCGTGCTCCAGCTGATGAGCTGCACGACAGAAGAGCTGGGGTGAGCTGAAAAGCAGAGGGAAAGCAGAGGCACTGATGGGGGTCAGGAGTGATGGCCAGGCCCTGAGAGATACCGATGAAACCAAGTGCAAACTGGGGACAACCCAAAAAAGGAACAGAAGGGAGATCTGGGGCTCTTTACATAGCCCCTCACTTTTCAGGGGGGAAAAATGCTGCTCCCAGCTTGCCTGGGCTGGCTGAGCTTGCAGCAACAACCCCTGTGCAAACCGGGTGCTTGCAGTGTTTGTGTAAGCAAAGCAGGGGGGGGGACAAGGGGGAAGGAGGAATAAATAAATAAATAAAAAGGAAAAGAAAAGAAAGCAGCAGGAGAGAAAATCCTGGAGGACGAGAAAAAGAGTAAGTTGTCCACAGGGTGTCACTCTTGACCCACATTTGGGCCAGCACCCAGCCTTGTCTGTGGCAGCAGGAGATGGAAGATTTTCGTTCCCCAGCGAGCCTCCAAAAAGGCAGAAAGCTCCAAAAAAGCAGGGTGGCACCTCTGGGCGTGCAGCCTCTGCCCCCGCCTGCCCTTGCCTTGTCCCTTCCCAGGGACTGGATTAGTACGGGGGTCCTCCTGCAAAAAGGGAAAGAGAGTGGAAGAAAACCCTCTCCCTCCATTGCCAAACTTTGCACCATTCTGCCCCAAACTTTTACCACACCACCTCAACCTTTCAGGACGATTTCAAGTTGCTCTGAAATCCCCCTATACTGTCGGCTGTCCCTTCTCTCCAGCAACTCCTCTGTTTCCCAGCACTGCCTCATGGAAGTTGGGGTAGAACCACTTTACAGCGCGGCCTGAACCAGGCTAAATTAAGTGCTGATTATCTTGAGGTTTTGGTTACTCCTGCTTATCAGAGGTGGGTTCTTTAACTTAGTTGGATGGGTTCTTTAGGACAAGCCCTATGAATTACTGCCTTTCTGTACATCAAGCTGTCTGCTGCTGCAATCAGGAGGACAAACCAGGGGTCAAACCAGCTGTGGTTGTAGCCTGAAAGCAGAGACCCCCCTGACCTTCTGCCTGATGCTGGGCTGAGTCCGGGCAGGGCAGGACTGGGTGCGTGCTGCCCATGAGAGCTGCAGGGGGATGCGGTCGGCCACCAGGCTCCGAGGGGCCGGCAGGTGACACGGATGCTGGGGTCAGCAGCGCAGCAGCCAAGGTACAGGCTGCAACTTTTACAAAGCATCAGCAGAGCGTGAATTATGGTGTGACCTCCTGGCAAGTTTCCTGGAGCAGAGGACACACCGGCAAGAATGCTATCTCCTCTTCCAGGGCTGGCTGGGACAGGATTTGTGTGTAGTGTGTACAGCACATAATTCATCAGGCTAGCATTTGCATAGCATGAGCTCAGCACTGCAGCACTCTCTGACATTTTGAAATATTCTGCTAAGGGCTCACCGCTTACTTGGGGCACCGCATGGGATACAGCCCAAAAGGGATGCTGTCCCCTTGCACGACTCCACCCTCTGCTTGGAGGAGGAGCTCCAAAAAGGTCTAAATCCATAAATCTTACCTGTCTGCAACTCCCTCATTTCTGCAGTGACTTCACACTTTTGCCCCAGGGTAGTGCTTTTAGGTATGCTCAGTATAATTTTCTTTTTTTTTTTCTTTTTTTTTTTCTTTTTTTTTTTTTTTTTTCCAGGCCATCTTCCTTAATGTGGCTATCCCAAGCTTTTATGGAAACACCTGCAGTATGCAAACACAAACGTATAAATCTCAGTAATGTGAAAAAACTACTTCATGGAGTCGTACAAGAATGCAGCCATGTGACCGCAAAACTTCATTTACAAGTGCCTAAATATAGATCATAGCATGCAGCAAACCCAGACTTCAATTTTAAAAGTGAGGGCACAGGGGAGAGTGCAGAGTCAGCACTTCTTAAATAAGAAGTTCTTCTTGTACTAATTCATTTACAGCAGCATCTTCCTTTGACACAGCAAATTTGCATCGCTGAATCCCGATCGCAGAGACATAAAGATTTTTATGGCAGTCGGAAATAGCCTCCATGCAGGCACTGCTGCACCACCGCCGACCTCCGTGCCCAGACAAGGGCATGCTGCAGTTTGCACCAAGTGAGCTGCACAGGCTTTACTCCCCCGTGTGCTTTTATTTCCCTCCAGGGAGAGGCTGGGTTGTGCAGGATGCCCAGTCTGCTCTGAGGGACCTGCTGGAAGAAACCAAGTGGTTTCTCTGCAGTGGACAGTGCTGAATATTGAAAGGCACCAGAGAGATTTGGGGTAATTACCAATGAGCAAAAAAGCTTTTTAGCCTCTGTAATACTTCCCCAACCAATCTGACCTGCACAGGAGGGAAAACAAAATGATCACAAAAACAGCTCAGGGTGAACACAGGTTTGGAAACCAAACCTGCTCAATGGAGACTACCTCATCCCATTTTGATTTCCCGGTTCCAGTTTGCCCAAATTGCCTCCCAGCACCAGCAGCCGTGATGGCTGCTCACAGTCACAGGTGGTGCACAGCAGGCTGCTCAGCACCACCAAGGGGAGCAGAGGGCATGCAGGCTGACCGGTGAATAGTGGATACATCCTCCATTTCACCTGCATTTAGGATGTGCAAGTGTCCCACGCACCATTCTAGATTGTTCTATTGCCGTTCTCTTGGTTGCTGTTAGGTATTTTATTAAACTTTTTCAGATCATTCTTCTAGCCTCGCAGTTTCCATAGAAATGCGTTTTAAATTTAGGAAAAGTCAACTGACCCTTGAATAATCACTGAAAGCACAGCAGAGAGGCAGTGCGGAGTGTCCTACCCCACCTACCCTGATGGAGCAGCTCTGTGGGGACCAGCGAAATGGACCCAACAGGGAGACACTTTTCCACTCTGAATCCCTCATCTGGGAAAGCACTGCTATTTAGGAATGGGATTTAGGTGTTACGGCATCAACAGAACCTAAGCAAATGCTTGAGTGAATCCCTAAATCTAAACCCACCTTAGAGACCTCTCTGCAAATACCTAAACACGTTCTGCTGGAATGATCAGAAGATCACGGGTTTTCTAAATATTGCATAGGTTAGCTTGTTTGGTTTTCATATAATGGAGGAAAAGATCTGTGTTATTATCTACTGAAGTCTCGAACTATTAAAGAACATTTTTCACTCTTTCATTCATATTCACTGATTTCCTATTTATATATATTATGAACACTAACTGGCACTTGTTTCCAGCCAAATGCTGAAACGCTTTCTTTGCAGAAGAAAAATCAAGTCACAACTGTTGTATGTTTGATGGGACTTACAGTGGGACACCATGAAGTTTTCAGACCAGGGCTTTCACCTGAGGCTTGCTGGACGTGGGCAAACGGAGTTCAGTACATTGGTGTGACCCTAAAGCAACCCAGAACACAGTGCTGTGTTTTGATTGCCCCCATCAGATTTTCCAGTAGCCAACTTGAAATTTTCCCTTGGAAAATTTAAGTTTGTACAGTAATTTCCTTTTCCTTCAATAAAAAAAACACGATCTGCTCTCCTCAGCATGCACAACACAGAAGAGTCTGCAGGTGACCAAAAAAACCCCACTGCACCCATTCTTCATTTAGCCATTAAAAAATACAGCTGTGCTAGCAGTGGTTTTTGGTGCTCACACCCCTCCTCCCCATACTTCCCAGTGCTGCCTGATGCACTACAAGCTCTTTCTACCATGGTGTTTGGCCCTGAGGGACGACCAGAAACATTTCAGCCACACAGACGTGGGGCAGGCAAGAAGCAAAGGGGCTGGCAGATGGGAGGAGACAAGAGATGCGTGCCAAGGACTGGCCAGAGCACCATGGGTGAAAGGCAGGGGACAAAGCAGTGCTGCCTCCCACCAAGGAGGAGCAGAGGTGGTCATACCTCCTAAAACACCAGCGATGGGGGAAGCTGCAGCTACTTCATGCTCCAGGCTTCCCCCAGCCCCCCAGCACACAGTGCTGACACATTAATTACATATATACATCCAACAATAACCTGGTAACTGTAAAAAAAAAAAAAAAGTAACTACATAATTATACTTTACTACTGCTTTCGTTGGACTCGCTCTGTAATTACCAAGTAGTTCCTAAGGAAAACCAAGCCATTGGTTTTGCCATGAGCAATTAATGCAGGTTACCAACACGATCAGTCCGCGGGGCCAATGCTAACATTGGCACCTGGCCGTGTTATTCATCCCTCGGTTGTGGCTCCCCAGTAATGAATGCTCTGCCTCCCATTACATGTCCACAAGCATGAGAAACAAATTGCATCAAAACCCAACTGTGCTACTGAAAGGCGAACCCAAGGAGCGGATGCCCATCGTGTATTTTGATTTCTTTCTCCTGATTCCTGTTTCTGGCCAAGGGGCAGAGCTGGCTCCCTCTTGCCCCACAGAGGGTTAGGGATTAACACCCCTGGTGCCCCCAGGTCTTCCTCATTGCTGCTCCTCGCCAGCCACCACCCGAACACAGAGCTGCAACCATCCTGGATGCCACAAGAGTTCCATCCACTGATGCTAGTAGGGTGTTTGCTGATGCCTTTTAGGAGCAGAATTTCACCTGTGGCATGTTTACCCTTACACCATAGACCCCAGCCTTGGTAGCTCTCCATGGCATTTTTTCAATACCATATCATAAATCCACTGCCCAGCTGGCTACTGGCTGCTTTGGTGCCCCATCCAAATCCCCTTCATCTGACTCACTTTTGTGGTAGACAAATATAGGGACTTTTTTCATAGGGACAAATGAAATTTCATAGGGCTTTTCTTACTCCTGGGACTGTCTGCCTTGGTGATTTCTTCCATCTGCCTAACATTTCTGACCCATTCATCTCTGATCTACAAAAAACAAAACCCGTGTTTTTTTACAACACTAGAAATTGGTAGCTCATGGGTCATTTGCCCCTCATTTGGAGCATAGAAAACACAGGTAACAGCTCCTTAGTGTTCACATTTTTCCTGCTATTGCATGTAAAAATGCTGTCAGGCAATAAATAGTATGTAACTCCGTTATTTTCTCAAGCTAGAAGAAGGATGAAAAATAGTTACAATGGCTTTGTAAAATCTGAAACACATTGAAAACAGGGCTAGGAAATACAGCAGCAGGGTCAGCCCTTTCCGTTCTTTCCCAGCATGTTGGAAATAAGGATTCACATCTCCTCCCACCTGGGCAACGAGAAGCAGTCACAAGGCCTGGGCAAAATGGCAGGTGAGCAGAGGAGCTGCAGGGCCAGTGCTGGGAACTGGTTTGGCACTGGTGAGAAACAGAAATCGGTCCCTGTCCAGTCAGCAATGAGTATTGGAAATGTTTATTTTTGGAGGTTTCTCTTCCACCATGCTCAAGAGCATAGGAATAGGCACAACATTTGCATTGCATCCCCTACCCTGGGTTATCAAAATGCGATTAAGGACATCAAAATTGCAGGTCGTTCTTCAAAGTACAGCCTCTGTGGTGCCAGGGTTGGGGTGGTTGACCACAGTCCTTGCCTGGAAAGCAGTTGGGCTCCCCTGCCTCTGGCTTTCTACATCCTGGGAGGTGTTAATACCTGTTGGGGTAGGGACACTTACCCATGGCCGTGACTGCCTTTGGTGGTGAGAAGCACAACGGAGGGAGCTCTTCAGGGACCTGCAGCCTCAGGAAAGCCCAAAGAGAAGAGCCTTCCTGCAGCCCAGCTGGCGTGCAGCAGCACAGGACGTACACATCTCTCCTCAGAACTGCACTCAGTATTTGTCTTTTTAAAATGACAGCTGGAAGAGATGTATGGAGACAGAACACAGAATCCACCTGCGCTAAACTGTAGCCCTGCCAGTGAACCTTAGCCAGCTCTGGCTGAAACTTCTTGGCCCTTAAAAACAAAGCAAGACTCCATTAGTCTAAATCAGACACATCAGCCAGGCATTTAGGCTTCTTATCATCAAGAGGTGTTAATGGTAGCCTGCAGGTGTCCTCCACCCAAGTGTGTTTCAGGTCTTACCTTGATGCTTGTGCAAATGATTGCTCCACACTCTTGCCTGCCTGTCCCAACGTTTTCACAGGCACGATAAACAGTTTCATGCTATTCAGTTCTGGGACATTTTATTTCAAGTCTGGAAAAAAATATCAGAAAACAAGGGATCTTCAGATATTAAAATAAAATTATTTTTTCTTTTTGCTACAGCTGAGGCAGCTTCTGGCCATTGCTGCCACCTCCCATCCTCTGAGCCACCAAACAGGCACCTACCCCAAAGATGCCCCACAACCGCAAGAGTGCACCAAAGCCCTGCTCTTCTCTTTCACACCAGAATTATGGATTTAACTGTACCCCATAATTTACCATACTTGATTCTTCAACACCCAATCTTTTCCTTATTTTCAGCAGCCCCACGTTTTTCATTTTCTTACCCCATCTCATATTCATTGGATGCTGTGCAAACAAGTGCAGATTTAAAGTGTCCCTGTAACGTTTTACTTATTCTGTGACTTAATAATAAAAAGAGCACTGAATAGAAAGGCTAGAGTTCAATTTCTGGGCTCCATTGCCATTTGCAAGCTGCACTCTCCCACAGCTCCTCACTTGAAATACAGCCACCCATTCAGCTTTATGCTAGCTTCGGAGCAATAAAACTGTACTTTGCCAGAGGAATTTTAAATCGTTCGACACCGATGCAGAGATCTTTAAAAAACAAATTTAGAAACATAAAAAGTGAGGATTGAAGTGAAACTTCTGGATTTTACTAAGTGGGTCTGCAAATTCTCCATCTTTATACAGGAAATTTTCATTTACTTTCAGCAGTGAAAAGGGACGTAATTTTTGATGTAGGTTTTTATTTAATCTTCCTAAAGGCCCCCAAAATATAAAACTTGGTGAATAAAATTTTAAAATAAAAGAATTCACTTGAGGTGGAAACCTCCACCATACTGATGCATTTGATGCTTCAGACTCTCTGGGTTGGGGTGGGATGAACGAGAGGCTCTGTGCTGCCACTAGCAGCACTCACCGCAGCTGATGGGCACCAGGATGTGACCCTCTGCTCCTCACCCAAGGGAACAGCACCAGGTCCAGGTGTCTCGCTGCACGGAGGAGGTTGGTTATTCATCACGGTGCAACACATGGGGCAGGGAGTGGGTGTCTCCTGTGTCCCGTTGCATGTGGCTTGTCATTTCTCCGCCAAGAGCCTGTTTTTCTCCGTGCTTGCTTTGTCTGCCTTATCGCCTTGGATTGAGGCTCCCTGGAGAAGAGCCCACTCCTGCGCTGCACAAAGCACCTCGGAGGCCCGGCTGCACCTGGGTTTCCAGGAGCAAAATTAAGCAATTACAAATCGTTACTCTCATTTTTGGCAATTTCATGCAGAAGTTCTGTTTTTCTTCAAAGCTAAAGGTCAACGATTAATTCAAAACTTACATTTCCCCAAAATTATGGACGGAGGAAATAATGCAGAGGCAGTAAGCCCAATCCTGCTCTCAGTTACACCTTTGTAAACCTGAAGTAACTCACTTGGTTTGCAGAGAGGCTCTGCTTTCTCATTTCTTCTGGATTTTTCCAGGGCTGATGCAGGGGACACGGCTGTAGGACTGGTTTTTGATGGACCTCAACAGGCAGCATGGTTTAGGCAGCCCATGAGTCACTGTAGCCAACCTGTGCGGTAGAAACATAATCTTGGACAAGCAATTATCTCTGCAACCCACCTGGGTTGCTGATATATGCTTGCATGGCTGGTGGATAAAATCTTTGTCTGCTCTCTACACCCATCTATACATTGCCCTCCTACTTGGACAGGTTGAATCGGACACTGGCACTGGAAGCATTTTACTTGGGATTCAAAGTTACCTGAAGTCCTTTCAATGCAGTGATTTGTGACATATCAGATGATGTATCATATATTTCTGACATATCAGATTTAAATCTCCCTAGGTGAAGGCATGGTGGGCACAGCTACCTGCGAGATACAGCGTGTGTTTTCGCAGAGTGCAGATTTACGATCCATTATGGCCATCACTGTGTTTTTATTATTAATGTGTCTTGAAAAATAAGATGTTTAGCTAAGCTTACTAATTCCTTGAAACTCAAATCATTTAAGCTGTCTAACCTTGTTCAGGATAATTATTTCTATCCATTATCCATCATGCTAAAAAATGACAGCTCTGGGACAAGGAGGCTTTTCAAGCAAATGTTTTAAGACAGTGTTTTAGGTTGCAGGCACTGGCAAATGTTAATTAAATTAGATAAACAATGACTCAGAGTAGCTGTGCTATACTGGAAAGAAAGATGGGAGGTAATGGGGGAAGGAATTTGGCAGCTCAAAGGTCGAAGCAGCTTTTTTGGAACCAAGAATCTGTCCCTTGAGCAAGAATCTTGCCTGAATTCAGCAGGTTCAAAAGCACCGTTGCCCTTTTGCTTTTACACCTTCAGACAGTGTTTACGTGGCTTTGCCAAGAGAATTTCTACCAGGGCACATGGTGTACACTACCTGTCTGAGGTGTCCTCCGAGACCACCACCAGCCTGTGCCACAAAGTCACACCCTCATGGGAGCAGCAGCATCCTCTGGTGGCACTTGTTTGCTCGGCTAGGGCCAGTCCTGTGGTCGCTGATCCAGGCTGAGCATTGCATTGTCCCATTTGGTGCCAGGGAAGTTGTCTGCTGCCCTGAACTGAGCAATTACAAGAAAAAGGCTCCAAAAGTGGAAACATGTCTCCCCGTAACTCCTGTGACACAGCTAGGTATTATCCTGAATACAATGCAATGGTTCTTATCATCTTGAAAAACTGCTCCAGCAGTGTGCAAAAACGTTTTGAAAATCAAAGCACTAAAATGGAGATTTTTGGAGAGGATTTGTTTTGCTGCTGCACCCACATGGTGCACCTGTATTGGGTTGGTATGAAGGGAAAAAGTCATGCAGCACTCATAAGACACAATTTAAACTACTAAATGAGCATGTGGGACACTGATAGAAGTTTATAAGCTTTAATATTTTACATCTTTTGGCTCACAACAGAGGCTCTATGTTTGTTCCAGAGGTGAGGAACCCACACTCCTGGCTTTTGTCCTCAGGTGCAGCAGAAGTTGCTCTGCTGTCAGGACAGCCAACTACAGCCCTTCCAAACGAAACCCAGAAGCTGCTCAGCTCTTCCAGTCCCTGCACATCTCAGGTCACGTTCCTTCAAGCATGCAGCTGACTCGTGCTTCTTTCTGAAAACAACAGCATCGCAATCCCCCACAGCACCAAGTCCCTGGTGCAGGACCCACGCTGCCCTCACCCTCAGCATCACCACGATTCAGCCAAGTGTTGGGTTGTATTCTATGGAGATACCGATCTGTCCAAACTTTCCTCACCTGCTCTGATCATTTCAGCTCCTCTGGGATGCACACCTTCATGCCACTGTCCAACTAATTAGTTGCTTCACTGGCTGCATTCTGCAATTCTTCAGTGACTGGGTCCCCATCTGACATCTTATGACAACTGATTAGTAAAGTAGGCCATGAGTTTAAGAAATGTGTAATTTGGGCACCGCTTACTATTAACTGTTTGCTTGCTTCAAAGTAAATACCAAAGGATGAGAAAAAAGTTTTTTGACCTGGCAATTTCATAAAGCAACATGCAGTAAACCTTAAGATCCCTTAATAAAAAGCCCTGAAGAGGCAATGAGGAACATATGTACTCACTGCAACGCTATGTATTGCAGAAGTCCAGATATCAAGGCAGCATCCAAAATTGCTAGTCTATCCTGTAGTTTTGGGCCAGAACCATAAGCAAACTAAATAATTAATTAAAAGTAAGTCAAAACAAACTGTCTTCACCCTAGCCTCCCCCTTCCAATATAGCAGAAAAGAAACAATAATTAAAACGTGAAGCTTTAAGCAGTCCTCTCCAGGTTAAGAGGGTATCAGCACGCCGCAGCACCACAGCGGTTAAATGTCGTTGAAGATTTGACTGCATTCGGTCTGGGATTTGCTCTCGCTTGAGAGCTGGTCAAACCAATCTTTCCAAAACACTGACTTCTGAACTTTTGCCAGAGGTGCCTCTCTCCGGTGACCACGCGGGCTGATGTACCAGGCGACATGTTAAACCTGTCAGCTCAGAATAAGCAGAAAAGTGCTCACCCGCCGTGGGGAGGGCACTTAAAGGCACAGCATTTCCTTCCCTGGGCGAGCTGCTGGCCTTGTGCATACACCAGGAGGCCCAGAGAGCTTGGGAAGAGCTGGGGGACCCCATTGCCAGCAGGCTGGGACACATCCCCTGGGGTGGAGAGCTTAAAAATCTGCCCTTTCTAAGAGACAGAGCTCTGCTTTTGCAGTGTGATGTGCAATCCAGCTTTGGGGAAGTCTGAATTAGTGGGGAAAAAAAAGGGGGAGAAGAGTAAAAACTAAGTTGCTACCAAAAGGAAATGAGAGAAAAACCTTATGGATTTTGTGTTCATAGACAGGCCACCCCTGGATTAGGATCTTGGGTTGTTTCTCATCCAAGCCAGTAAGGATCATGTTTGGCCTTCCTGCTAACATTGAGGACACCGTACATTGGTAATACTGGCTGTGAGCACATTACAGCAGCAGTCACTCCAGATTTTTATAGAAGCCACCATGAGCTGCCAGCAGACCTGATTTTACCACCACAGTTTGGAGGAAGAGTCACAAACAGCTGGTTCTCCCCTTGAACTGGACAGTCAAGGTGTAACACAAGAAAGGAGGGTTTCTTTGTTCCTCCAAGCAGACAGCCAGCTCTGAAGAAGCCCCCTCTATCTATGTTAGATACCTGAGGTCTTCTCCTGTCAATGGAGAGGATCTGTTCTCATCCTTCCTTCTCTCTGCATTTATACACCACCACTTAGACTGGGCATGGCCAGTTCTACCTGCAAGAGGCAATGTGAGTTCAGAGCAAAGTCTGAGCCTGTATCTTCACCCTGGGGTATCAGCCAAGGCACATCTCCAGCTCTTTCAGTATTTATGTGCAACTGAGGGTAAGTGGTCACTGTGCTGGCAAGGCACAGAAAACATACATCTCTATTTTTCAGCATACACAATCATGCCAACACCAGGATGAGGTCCCAATGCTAAGTCAAGATAAGCTGAGACACACAACAGGTAGGAGAAGTTGAATCCAAGTGAGACAGATGTCAGAATGCAGAGGAGAGAATTTGGATGACTTTGTGGTTAAAGCGCACTTTCGTGATTAAGCCCATACTTAAAAATTAGGTGAAGAATCCACAAGTACATTCAGCTCTCACATAGCAGCAATTATCACTTCCAACCATCTCCAGTTGGCTGGGAGACTGCATCCCAACCTGGCAGATACTGACCTGGCCTTAGTTTTTCACACCTTGGTCACTTGGCTGTATTACAGCAAACCGATATACCTGGGCATGAAGCCTGCAACACTTAGGAAACTCCAAATAGTACAAAATGTTACTGAAAACCTCTTCAGTGACATGCACTGACACGAATACATCATATCTATCTTCAGCTGTCTACAATAGCTTCACATTTTTAATTTGGAGACTTGTTCAAGTTTTTGAGTCTTTTCTTTCTGATGCTCCTTGGTCTAAAGCTACAATATCTAGAATCTCCATGAAACTATTTTATAATTACTATGATTAAGAACTGCAGTAGAAGTCTCTACAATGGGAGAAAAGCTTGTCTAGGTGGGAGAAGGAACTTTTGCATGGGCATGGCATAAACTTGCTTAATTATAGATGATTGTGTTTGCTGTAAACAGGAGTCATCCCCCTCTCTCAGTCAAGACGGCTTGTAATTGCTTGATGAGTATGCAGTATAGAAATAAATAAATCAGAAAAGCTTTGGAAGAAACTACTGAGCACACCTCCAGTTAGAATTCAGTTGTAAACACCCCTCTCATTGGAATTTGTGGCTCATGCAGACCCTACCCTTACTCAAAACAGATGCAAGTAAACAAATAAAATGCTGTGAGCCCAACAAGACAGTCAGCCAGGTGCATCCAAAGGCTATTCCCAAACGATGTGTTTTCTGTGTCTCCCATTTATAGCCAGAGTTAACAGCAAGTCAATGTTTTATTTTATTTCAGATGAATAGCAACTAGACCACGACATTTGTTCAAACCCACCAGGAGAGGCTACCTCTCACCAAACTCAGATCCCTCTCCTCCTAGAGCTGAGGACTTTGAACAAAGATCAAACAATCCCATATGCAATGTCAGAGAACTATAGATACTAGTGACTTGTAGGTAAATCATAAAAAAAAAAATCTTTGTGTTTACGCTTGAATTGTTGATATGTCTGAATAATGCCAGTAAAAAGGAGAAGCTTTCATCTTAAGTTTCCAATACCTGGCTGACAAAAAGAGCATGTGAATACTTCTAATATGTTTGGCAGTCTCATAAAGAGGACTCCCTTAGAGATACCATAAAGTGCAATTTTTCAAAGAAGTTTGTTTTTGTGAGCTATAAATGTGTGTTTGGTCAGAGTTTTGGCAAACAACTCAAGCTAGTTTTTGTCCTATGTAAGCCTTTTACGTCATGCCCTAGAAACAACAACAGCTGTTAATTATTTATCAGCTGATGAACATTGGCCTGTTAATTGCAAAACATTATAAAATAGATTAAGCAGCAAAGCTTGATATGTATGCAAGCTGTGGGTTTTTTTTGCTCTGTTTTGTATGTGACTTGATTAAATAAACAATTTTAGGTCTCTGTTTAGTTTGCAAAGACTACCTTCACTAGTGATTTGATCTCAGAAATTGCAATGGGCCCACAACCTTTTAAAAAGTTTGCTAAAAATAGGAAGATTTTTCAGCCTTTGAGCTTTTTGAGCCCTTATCACCAACTCTCACCTGCCATGAAGATGAACTCTCTAAAATCACCTGAATGTCATGTTTTAAGCCAAAACAACCAGAGCTCTCTTAGACGGGGAAGTGCTATTAAGCAAGGAGAAGACCACAAGATTCAAGATTCAGTTCTCTGTCTTCCTGTTATTCTCAGTGTTTATGCAAAACGTTATATTCTTATCATTCAATACTATTTGGTGTTGCATCAGAAGAGCACTGGAGACAGCAACTCACCTGCATTGTAGGTCCTGCTGGCTCCTCTCCTGGTCTGTGGACAAGAAAACCATGATTCACTGCACTGATGAAATAAAATTTTCATTTTTCCTAGCATTTCCATTGTGCCAGTAGAGTATTTTCATGCTATTAAGTTGGCCCCAGCTTACAACAATATACACGTGCAGATGGTTATACTGGGGTGAGGTGTTTTGATGGGCTGTGCTTGACTACCTGGTAGAGGATCTCTAAGCTGATTATCCACGCTGTGCTGCACCATACAAACACTTTTCTATGGATGAGCACGGATGGTCTGTGGTAAGTGTTGGAATAGCCTGGCCTGGTTGCCAATGTTTATCTGCTCTCTCTTTTTACCCATTATTTTGGCCCAGTCCTCTTGCTGGCCAACTAGTGCCATCAATTTGGGAGAGTCTTGCTCTTACACTGATCTGTGATGCACAATCTCCTTCACTTTTTAAGAAGAAAGGTGATTTTTCACACCAAACTCAGACATCCCAAGGGGCTGTGCTCATTGATCAAAACAATCAGGTAGATCTTACTCTGTTGCACACTAGAGTAGGTTGATTGAATTAAATGGAGCTTCACCGATTCACACCAGCTAAGAAGAGCACTAGAGGAAGGGATCCGAGAGCTGCCCAGCTGTGAAACCCTTTAAAGTTTGGTTCACAGGCCTAAACAGTCCCAACGGTGGTGAGATACTTCCTTCGGGACTTCATCTTACCTGCCGAGCTCGTTGCGCCTGTTGCCCATTGTGCATATTCCAGTGCTCAGACACCTGGAAAGGGCACAAGACCGAGGGCTCCGAGGAGCTTCCTGACACTGCTACCTGCAGCACTCACTGGAGCAGCTCTTCTTGCTTCCATTGCATTTTGTTACTGCAACATTTGGGCTAGCAACCTCCAAAGAAAAACTTCCAGGCTTTTCAGAAAGTCATGCCAAGTCATACCCATCCCCAAAGGAAATGAGAAAAACCCAAAACAGATGCACACAAGCTTGGTATTAGGGAAGAGGGAAGGGTGGGAACAGCATGCTTGTCGCTTGTTACTCTAAATAGTATCGGGAAGTCCTACAGTCCCTGAATTAAAAAGGAAATAAACTTTCAGTGCAGGTTGTGGGACCAATGCTTTATAGGCTAACGCAATATGCACATTTAACAATCTGAAAATGAGACAGCTCTTCATTGTGCAGCCAGCCACACAGAAAATAAACAAAACCCTTGGAGCCGTCCTCCTGGAAGCTTTGGGCTCCGAGTCAGACCAACACGTGGGTGCACGATGAAGGTGTGAGAGCGGGGAGGCTGAAGGTCCTGCAGCCAGGACCCAGGAGCTGGATGAGAGGGGCTGAGCCCAGCGCTCTCACCACGATGGCCAGCCGTGCCGTCGCAGCAAGGGGAGGCTGCTGGAAGGGGGCCATGACTCACAAAATCATTTAAACGGTTAAATGGGCTACACATGTGGCACAGTGCTCCTAGAGTGACGAATTTAGAGTGCTGTATTCTGTTTAAATAATACATGTTGTATTTTTACTTTTTTTTTTTTTTTTTTTTTTTTTTTTAAACAGGGCTTGTACAGCCTGTAAAGTGTCTTCAAGTATACGAAATCCCCAATTGCTCTAAATACACAATCACCCTGACCACTGGGCTTTAGCCATCTAAACCAGGGCAGAACTGGGGCAAAAATAAAGTATATTTATTAAAATATCCCCCATGTAAGATACTCCTAACCTGTTTCCTATCAGCTTCTGATCTCAGAAATGCTCAAACTCTGATTTTCATAGGTACTGCTTAGATCTCTGAATGCTCCTCATGTTCTTAATCACGTCTGCTCCAGAGATGAGGCTATGAATAATTAACTATGCCTCCAACATTACAGTCATAGATTATGGTGGTGGTGACTTGTGGACTGCCATGCGCAGCATAAACCATTTAGGAAACTCTGTTATCCACTTTCCCTTTATATTTGTCTTGCAATCACTTACCGCTTAAAAGGGTAAATCTTTCATAGCTTTAATTAAAGCATTTAAAATAATTTACACTGAAATTGTATGTGCTTGGGTCTGTCAAAATTGATGCTTTAATAACATGTCATCCCTTTTTTCGATTGCCCTGAAATCTGTTAAAATTACCACTAATCTAATTGGGAACAAAGTTGTCAAATGCATGCAGCTCTGACAGTTTGTCTTTCTGCAAACTGCCGACAGATTGCAAGTTACGCATGTGTTGAGCAGATGGGTAAGTTAAAAGGAACACAAAAAAAAGCAATTTATTAAATCACCTGGAACCAGCAGCTCCATTCCAAAAATAGTGAGAATGAAATATAGCAAGAGCTAGGAGAGTTGGCACTGGAATATGCCAGAAGGTACCAGTTACAAAACAAGATAAACATTTTGAGAAGCCTCAGCTGTGTTGCAGAATAATGAGGCGTTATTTAACCCGATATAGATTACCAGCAGAAATTAATTTAGGGTGCAGGGTTTTGTGAGAGTGTGTGAGTGTGTGAGTGTGTTTTTTTTAAGGATTTTTTTTTTTAATCTCTGTGTCTTAACTCCTTCGTGCCTGACAGACAAGTCATCGGTCTCTACCTCAGCCCCAGCCCTTGCCTGCGGACCTGAGGGACCTGCCTTAAATCCCCGTGGTGGAGGCAGGCAGTGGGTCCCTCTCCTTCTGCTTCCTCTTACACTGTCCCTTACACACACATCTCCTGCTTACAGACAGAGGCCAAGGTTGCAGGTTCCTCAGAGACAACCTGGCCACCGATGTGCTTGCACTAGGCAGTCCCATACCTGCCCATAAATACACTTTTTGGAAAGAAAAGCAAAGAGAGCAGAGCCAGATATGGCACCATGCTGGGACAAAGGCCACTGCCAGAGGCTCTGCTGGGCTTTGGCCCACCAGCCCCAGCTCTGCCCTTTGCAACCCTTCCCTCAGACCTTCACCTCGCTTCCAGTCTGCCCCATTGCTGCCCCTCTGCTCCTTGCCCATCCTCCTCCCTCCTCTATGCCCCCCACCAGCAGCAGGAAAGGGAGAGGAGCTCTGGGGCCATCGCATGGGACTGGTTCTCCCCACACAGGGCCATCTGTCCCAGGGGCATGTGCTAGTCCACATTTACAAAGCATTTAGGAAGAAACAGGCTTCATTCCTGGATGGTCTGTGAACACTGCTGTGTTCAGTTTTTATTACCAAAGAGATAGACCAGGACTTAAGAGTAGTGCAGAAGCGCTAGATAAGCAGCGTGGTTCACCTGCTGAGGCCACCACAGAGGACACTGGGGTGAAGAAGATGCTCATGGATGTCCCCTGCTTCAGTGCTGGCTCAGAGAAAGAGGGGAAGGCTTGGGATGTCACTGGGTCATGTGCATTTTCAGAGGATGCCCTGAAGTGCCTGCTCTCACCAACACGTAGGTGGTGTGGGCAGGGAGCAACCATGTCGTACCTTGTGCCCCTCTGATTCTGTGCACAGTTTTGGAAAAAAACATAAATAATTAAAAAATCCAACCCACCAAATCTTGCCCAAAGCAGCCAGATGGACAAAAGAGAGGGAAGACAAACAGCTTCCCCTCACCTCCAGCCCATGGGATACTCACAGGTCCCACAAAAGAGGAGATGAGCTCCCATGACCATAAAGACCATGAGGAAAGAGACCTTCTCAGCAACTTTATGAACTAACTTTATAAGCCTCAGAGCCAGTTAAAATGGCTACAGCATCCTTTCAGCAAACGTAGATAGACTAATTTGAACCAGCTGCCAAGCTTTGGCCCATAATGCAACGTAAGAGGTAACCTTCCCAGCAAGCAGCGAATTGGTTACATTTCATACATGTGTTCAGGGAGGAGAAAAGATCATAAAAAGAATTGCAAATAGGAAGTTACAAGCAGAACTGCTTTTTTCTTTTATTCTTTTTTTTTGTTGTTGTTTTTTATTTTTTTTAACTAAGCAATAAGTATTTTGATCCTTTCCCATAGAAAACTTGAGGACAAAGCTTGCCCAATACTCTACAATTTAGAGTTCCTCACCTGCAGGCGTAAAGATGGATGAGCAGCTCTCCTGCAAAAGCAATGGCATTCCTTCTGTAAAAATTACATCTATAAGTTTCAGTGAACAAGAAAGATGATACTCAAGGCCCAGGTAACATTGCCACACTCACCGTGCCATCAGACAAAGTGTGACCCTTAATGCCTGTTTAGAAGAATATAATGTAAACTAGCTAGGAAGCACAGTGGACCTGACTCTGCAGTCCTTTCCAAGTCTTTTAAATTGGGACTAACCCACTGAAACCCAGTGAAAAACAACAGCAACAACAAAAAAATCAGAGCAAGATGAAAACGTTTCAGATATTTTGAGTGAGGTTGGGTCAGCCCTGGCATTCCTCTGCTCTTGCGCAGAGCAGGGCTGGAGGCAGAAGGTGCTGTTAAACAACATTTATGCCTCCGTGTCTAAAAGCCAGAGCTCTTCTGATCCGTGCTTGGCTGCAGCAGCAGCCCTATGGCCCCCGAGCAGCTGGACCAGCACAACGAAGGCAGGGAAGCCACATCTCTTCTCTGCTTTTTCCTGGGGTCCTTCTCTCTCCTGTGCCCCCCTGCTTGAACAGCATGGGGGGGGAGGGACAACACACACAGATGCTGGCCCACTCTTCTCATTTTTCCTTTCACTGCAATTTAAATGGACATTTCCCTTCCCCCCCCATATCCAAGTGGGTCATCATTTAGAGTCTGTGATTTATTTAATGGTGGTTTTAACCCCACTTAGAAATAGTCTGCTTTCATGATTTATTGATTCCTTCTTCCCCTTGTTAATTTGACTCATTTCTTAGGAAATTATTCATAGTTAATCATGGTAAGAATAAAATTAGTTATAGTGCCCACTTTGCTGCAAAGGGAGCGTAAATAACTTTTAAAGCAAATCAGAAAGAAAAACATGTTAAAGCACAAAAAATAAAAAAAAATAAAGGGGAAAAGTAAAAGGAGAAGCCGGAAGAATATATATAAAATGATGATAATCCAAAGGGGGCAGTAAATTAAGCCTCTCCACTGTTGCTGGATAGAGTAAAGCACGAATTTACATTCCACGGGAGCACGGCTTTTACAGCAGGCTCTCGGCAATTGAATTTGCCATATCTTCTGGGAAACGCACCATTTGGAAGATAAAATCTCCCACCACTCCACCACCACTGCCACCATTCAGAAGATTAAAAAACCCCGCCAACTCTGTTGTGTGCCTTTTGTGCCCACTAGAGGAATGTAAAACCATTATATTTAAGTATCATAATGGCCAACATATGCTTTTTCTTAGAAATGACACCACCATCTGGATTAAGTTCTCCTGATCATTTCAGACAATGTTACGATTATTATTTTTTTTCCCCTTCAGGAGTAAGAACTGCCCAGAAAGCAACCACAGTTGCAGATGGGGATTTTTTGCTTTTTCCTTTTCCACTGCTGGCAACCTTGAGAAGCACGGCGAACTCTTTATATGAACCCAAACTGTTTGATTTCACTTGCTAATCGATCACGAAAGCCTACCTGGATACACCCCTGCACTAAGCCTGCAAGACTCCCATCGCCTTTGGCCGTACAACTTCACTATTACAGTTAATAAAGTATGTAATTACTGTAATGGTAAAATTACATCGTGTTCCTGTTTGCAGCAGTCTCTTTTGCACAACCATATTGGTCGTTAAATACCGCACAGGAGATGCAAGCTTAACCCTTAGCTGGCCGAGGGCTTTCAAGCACGCTGGTGTGCAAAGGGGAGGTCTTCTCACCTGAATGCCTCCTTACCGGCCTCGTGGCTATTGTCATGGACGGAGGGGACCTTCTGGGCCACCCCATCCAACTGGCTGTATCTGGAAATGGGCACGCCGGGATAATTGATGTGCTCAATCTGACCATGCACAGGTGGCACGGAGACGGCGTACAGCAGCTTCTCGGGTTTGCTAGTGCCATCTGTTGCCACAGGAACATCTGTCGTCAAGGTCACCCTGTCACCCTCTGTTAAAGTTACAGGTTTGGCGAGTAGAACAATGTCACCTAAAAAAAAAAAATAAAAATGAAATGAAATGAGTAAAAGGGGAGAGAAATTAAAAAGGGGAATATTCCTTTTATGTTCCAGACATCAGCCCTTCGGTTCAGGGGAGGGAGAAGAGGAGGGAGCAAGAGCATGGCAGGGAGAAATAAAGAAAGAAGTTTATCAGAATGGCTCAGAAATATATTTTTGCTTTAGGTTTTAGAGACAACCAGGCCATTTACAAAATAAAAAGCTACTGAGCTATTATATTTGTTTTCAAATACCCGCCATTGTGCTTTCACTTTAAGGCTGATGCTAGGCAGAATCACAACATTTTTATCTAATACATTTTTTATCTAATAACATTTTTATCTAATAGGTGTGTTTGTGGAGGAGTACTTGTATTTATCTGGCTGCATGATTTCTCCAAAATATTGCAGCCAGCTTTGATCTTCTGTTCGGGAGATAGAATGACCCAGTTGTTTAGAAAGAACAATTATGTTAATAGATCCAAACGAGCCAATGGACAGAATGCGTTAATGAACTAAGTATTAAGAGCAAACACTGTGTTTTAAGCCGATAGTGATGCTGTAGCCTCAGCAACAGAGGTTCTGGCTTGATTAGATTTATTTATGAAGAGCTCCACCACCTCGCCCAAGGACCAGTGCAGTTTTCCCATTTACAAAGCAGTAGCCACAGAAAATTAAAGCTGCTAGAAAAATGATCGAGTGGTCTTCTAAAGAGGAGTAGAGATGATTTACCTAGTCTACTTAGTTTTAAAAATGGGTGTGAACTGGGGTGGCAATCCAAGGGCCACCAAGTAAATGGTACAACAAAACTGGAGGGTCGCGCAAGCTACAGCATGGGCTCGGAGACCTCAGCTTCTCCTGCAGCACAACAGCCAAAGGCAGAAGCAGGGACAAACTTTTTATCTGAGGATTTTGCAAAGGCGAGAGGATAACATCAAACAGCTTGAGTTGCTGTCAGTCAACCTGCCGATGACAATGCACAATAATGGCATGTATAGCACGGACTCCGCAGGATCCTTTTTCTGCTTCTTGCCTTCTCATTGTGTTGCCAACTGACTTTCAGAAACAACAGGTTCCCATTAAATGGAGAAGGCTGCCAGCAACATCTGAGAGTACTGGTTGTCAGGGTTTGGTTTTTGTTTTAAATTTATTTCTGCAGCAAAATCTGCACTAATTTTGGTGCTTTCCATCCCATTTGATGGTTCACCTTTGCTATTAACCCTTTAACATCATTTCTGCTCTGCAGCTAGTGTGGCAAATGAAACCCATGAATGAGATTTGATACATTCAAGAAATGACTAATAACTGAGGAAATTAGTCTATGGACATGACAGTCATTCATAACATAAATACCAGCCAGCTTGTCTTCATATAGAAAAGTTGTTAATTGTGTTTGAGAAAAATCATCAAAAAGAAAAGCTATCAGCCCCTTCGCCTGTGCAATAAGAATTATTGAAACTCACCAGCCTGGAGCAGCTGGCATTGGACAAATCATTTATGCTGTGTTGGAGAAGTTGAGGGCTCTTACTTTTGGGTTGCATCTTTGAAAGAGTCTAAATTTGTATGAGATCTCAGTGAACAGGGACTCCTTTTCGGACCATTTCCAAAAGTGATCAGAGATCAAGGAGGATAGCAGAAGAAAGGACCTGGAAATGGAAAGGATAGGACGACCCAGAGATCAGGACATCAGCCTGCTGCATAATTTGCTTAAAGGTAAAGCAAATCCACAGCCCAATTTGTTAAGCAGAAATGGTGCTTCATACTGACTGATTTTATTTATTTATTTATTTTTTTTTTTTTATGGGAAATCCAAACAAATAGGATAAAGTAAGAATACGAGCAAGAAACACACAAATGCAGTTGACCCAAGATCATGTGGAAAAAAGGCCAAGTTCTCCATAGCAGCTTAGAAATATTTTTATACTCACAGTGTGAGGGTCTCATGAGGGGAGAGCGATGTTCACCTAGGTTGTTCCTTTTCAAGAAGCTTTCTGTACTTGTCTGCCACCCTGCTGCATTGCCCCATTAATGACATCCAGAAACTGGAGTCCGTCAAGCTTAAAAACACCAAGAACTTTTCAAGACTAGGACCTGACCTTTGCTAACCCCAGAGAGATGCAGCGATGGGAGATTGTCCCAAAATCCATGACATGGAGAAGACCTCCCGCTGACTCTTGCAAGCAGCACCACTTTCCTACTTGTTTTTTTCTCAGCCAGATACCCACCGTGTTGAGGGTACACACTGCTAAGCGGATGAGACGTATGACAATAAGACACGTGCATCTGAAGTTGTTCATCTAGCAGCAACGTTTGGCCTTAATATGTTCTTTTTTTTTTTTTTTTTTTTTTTTTTTTAGATACTAGAAAAAAAAAAGCTGTCTCGGATTTAAAGGAAAAACAGACTCCTGCTGCTGGGATGGGTGAAACCCTGCTCCTGGCTGCACCTTGCTCCCCGGGGCCATGCTGCCACGTAGGCTCCCTGCCCGGGGAGGCTGGCGAAGCCATTTGGGTTTTGGATTGACTCGCTTGAACGTCGTGGGCTTGAGAGTTTGACTTGAAATATAACGTTAGTGGGTTTGTGGTAAAAGCAGCAGAGAGGATGGGATGACAGGCGG